CCTCTCCCGTCGGGCGCTTGTGGAGAAGGCAGCCCGCCTGTCCGCCCGCCCCCGCGCAGCCAAAGCTCGGCCCTTCGCTCGGCCCGCCCCGAGCCCCGCTCGCTCGCTCGCGCCTCGCTTCTGCCGACGTGGCCGGGAGGGGAGTCCAGGGCGCAGGCAGGGCGCGCCGGCAGGCAGCAGCTCGGCGGTGGTAAGAGGGCGAAATGACTACCTGCAGCTTCCTCCAGCTCTTCCCTTTCCTTTCCTTTCCTTTCCTTTCCTTTCCTTTCCTTTCCCTTCCCTTCCCTTCCTCTTTTCTTTCTTCCTTCCCTTCCTTCCTCTTTCCTTTCCTTCCTTTCCTTCCCTTCCCTTCCCTTTCCTTTCCTTTCCTTCCTTTCCTTTCCTTCCCTTCCCTTCCCTTCCTCTTTTCTTTCTTCCTTCCTTCCCTTCCTCTTTCCTTTCCTTTCCTTTCCTTCCCTTCCCTTTCCTTTCCTTCCCTTCCCTTCCCTTCCTCTTTTCTTTCTTCCTCCCTTCCCTTCCTCTTTCCTTTCCTTTCCTTTCCTTTCCTTCCCTTCCTCTTTTCTTTCTTCTTCCCTTCCCTTCCCTTCCCCTTTCCTTTCCTTCCCTTCCTTTCCTCTTTCCTTTCCTTTCCTTTCCTTTCCTTCCCTTCCTCTTTTCTTTCTTCCTTTCCTTCCCTTCCCTTCCTCTTTCCTTTCCTTTCCTTTCCTTCCCTTCCTCTTTTCTTTCTTCTTCCTTCCCTTCCCTTCCCCTTCCCTTCCCTTCCTTCCCTTCCCTTCCTCTTTCTTTCTTCCTTTCCTTTCCTTTCATTTCCTTCCCTTCCTTTCCCCTTCCCTTCCTTCCCTTCCCTTCCCTTCCTCTTTCCTTTCCTTTTCTTTCCTTCCCTTCCCTTCCTTTCCCTTCCCTTCCCTTCCTTTCCCTTCCCTTCTTTTCCCTTCTTTTCATCTTTTCTTTCTTCCTTTCCTTTCCTTTCCTTTCCTTTCCTTTCCTTTCCTTTCTCTTCTCTTTTCTTTCTTCCTTTCCTTCCCTTCCTCTTTCCTTTCCTTTCCTTCCTCTTTCCTTTCCTTTCCTTCCCTTCCTCTTTTCTTTCTTCCTTCCCTTCCCTTCCTCTTCCCTTCCCTTCCTTTCCCTTCTCTTCCTCTTTTCTTTCTTCTTCCTTCCCTTCCCTTCCCTTCCCTTCCCCTTCCCTTTCCTTCCCTTCCCTTCCTTTCCTCTTTTCTTTCTTCCTTTCCTTTCCTTTCCCTTCCTTCCCTTCCTTTCCCCTTTCCTTTCCTTCCCTTCCTTCCCTTCCCTTCCTCTTTTCTTTCTTCCTTTCCCTTTCCTTCCTCTTTCCTTCCCTTCCCTTCCTCTTTCTTCCTTTCCTTTCCTTTCATTTCCTTCCCTTCCTTTCCCCTTCCCTTCCTTCCCTTCCCTTCCTCTTTCCTTCCCTTCCCTTCCCTTCCTCTTTCCTTTCCTTTTCTTTCCTTCCCTTCCTTTCCCTTCCCTTCCCTTCCTTTCCCTTCCCTTCTTTTCCCTTCTTTTCATCTTTTCTTTCTTCCTTTCCTTTCCTTTCCATTTGTTATCATTCTTCCTTTTCTTTCTTTACTTCCTTTCCCTTCTCTTTCTCTTTTCTTCCTTCCTTCCTTCCTTCCTTCCTTCCTTTCCTTTCCTTTCCATTCCCTTTCTTTCCTATCCTATCCTATCCTATCCTATCCTATCCTATCCTATCCTATCCTATCCTTCTTCCTGCTACCTTTTTCATTTTTCCCTTTCCCCCGCTTTCTGTTTCTTTCCTTTCCTTGCCTTCTTCCTTTCCTTTCCCCTTTTCCCCTTTCACACCTTCTTCCCTTTTCCTTTCCCACTTCTCCCTTCTCCCCCCCCTTTTTTTTTTTAACAAGGAAGGATTCTTCACTTCTTCATTTCTTTCCCACTCTTTGGCTTAAATGCTCCCAGGAAAGCTCTTCCCATTGAGAAGGAGGGCGTGGGGGGGGGGAGATTTCTAAGAGATTTCTCTCTTTGGGGAGGGAGCTGAAGGCCAGACACTCAAGAGTTTGGGGAGGGGATTTGCTTTTGGGGGAGGGCAAGTCCTCATTTAGGATGAAGCTCTTTGCCCCGACTGGTCTGTCATTTCAAGAACCTGTTAGCTCAATGTGTTTGTGTGTGATGCATGTGTAGGAAAGTACGTTTGCAAAATCCTAGGAGTAAAACTTAACACTGTACATTAGATAGCGATGTGCAACTGAGCCAAGAGTAGAAGTCACATGCACGCTTTATATTATTATTATTATTATTATTATTATTATTATTATTATTATTATTATTATTTAATTTGATTTATATGCCGCCCTTCTCCAGAGACTCAGGGCGGCTTACAGTGCGTTAAGCAATAGCCTTCATACTTTTGTATATTTTATACAAAGTCAGCTTATTGCCCCCACAAACTGGGTCCTCAATTTACCTACCTTAGAAAGGATGGAAGGCTGAGTCAACCTTGAGCCTGGCGAGATTCTATTTTACTTTTAATTGCAGACAGCTGGTGTTAAATTACAGTGCTTCTGTCTGTTGAGCTAAACCAGGCTCCTGGTTTAGTTTTCAGTTTAGTTTTAAGGATCTTCTGTATTTATTTATTTATTGGTTCGATTTATATGCCACCCTTCTCCGAAGACTCAGGGCGGCTTACAATGCGTTAAGCAATAGCCTTCATACTTTTGTATATTTTATACAAAGTCAGTTTATTGTCCCCACAATCTGGGTCCTCAATTTACCCACCTTAGAAAGGATGGAAGGCTGAGTCAACCTTGAGCCTGGCGAGATTTGAACTTACTTTAATTGCAGACAGCTGGTGTTAAATTGCAGTGCCTTGTCTGCAGAGCTATCCAGGATTATTATTATTATTATTATTATTATTATTATTATTATTATTATTATTATTATTATTTAGTGAGATTCACAGCCTTTGAGGCTGGTTAATAGCTCAGCAGCTTGAGTCCTAACCAAGGACCTAGGAACTGTTAAGGTATCATCGGAGGATGTAAGCTGTTCCGAGTAAGGTGGTTTTTTGTAGAGTCAAAATGTTCAAGTCTGGCAAATTTAGGATTTCTAAATAGCGGGGTAGACCTTTGGGTATTGCTCCAAGGGCTCCAATTACAATCGGGACAACACACAATTTCTTTTTCCACAGTCGCTCAACTTCAATTTGCAAGTCCCGGTACTTTGTGATTTTTTTCTTGCTGCTTATCTTCAATCCGTGCATCACCAGGTATTGCGATGTCAATGAACCATACTTTTTTCTTTTCAACTATTGTGATGTCAGGTGTGTTGTGGACCAAGTGCCTGTCAGTCTGAATCCTAAAGTCCCACAAGATCTTGAGTTTCTCATTCTCTAAAACTTTCTCAACCTGATGTTCCCAGTGGTTTTTGCTGTACTCAAATCCAAACTTCTGGAACAATTTCCAGTGAATGATCTTAGCAACGCGGTCATGGCGTTGTAGGTAGTCAGTTTGTGAAATTTTGCTGCACCCACTGATCAGGTTTATTATTATTATTATTACTATTATCATCATCATCATCATCATCATCATCATCATCATCATCATCCCACGGGTGTGTTAAAAACACTCTCTCTAACTCCATTAATTCATTTCTGAGTAAACAGGTGTGGTAGGGCATATCAAAGGCAGAGATGGAAATAAAACATGTGTAAACAAACAAGTGCGTAAGTTCCATCTGCTATCGTTTTCAAAGTTCTGATTTTATTATTCAAAATACCTTTCTGGAATCTGTGTGGTTCTTGCTTCCTTGGTCACGTCTAGAAGTAGGGCTAGAAAAAGTGCAGAGAAGAGCAACCAAGATAATTAGGGGACTGGAGGCTAAAACATACGATGAACGGTTGCAGGAACTGGGCCTGGCTGGTCTAGTGAAGAGAAGGACCAGGGGAGACATGATAGCAATATTCCAATATTTGAGGGGCTGCCACAGAGAGGAGGGGGTCAAGCTATTCTCCAAAGTACCCGAAGGCCAGACAAGGAATAATGGATGGAAACTGAACAAGGAGAGATTCAACCTGGAAATAAGGAGGAATTTTCGGACAGTGAGAACAATCAACCGATGGAACAGAAGTTGTCTTCAGAAGTTGTGGGAGCTTCATCACTGGAGACTTTCAAGACGAGACTGGACTGCCATCTGTCAGAAATGGAGTAGGGTCTGCTTGTGTGGGTTGGATGGGGGTGGGCTAGATGACCCACAGGTCTCTAATCTGTATCTTCTCACTCTGGAAGAGTTTTCCCTCAAAAGTCAAGAGGGCTCCTTCCTTACAGATCAACGTTGAATTACATATTAAATTAAGACGACTTCTTCTTTGTAGAAAATAGAGTAGATAGCTGAGGTTTATTGTCCTTTGTTAGCAGTGTATGTAGTTTAGTATAATTAAAAAAAAAAATTATTTTAAGGATAATCTTGACCTAAAGTATCTTTTATTCCATTAACATCAGGCAATTTAGCAAGTATTTTCTCCAAGAAGACAGTTGGCCAACCTCACTTAGGAGGGAAGAGATGAAGTGCTACCAGTTGAGGTGCTACCACTGAGAAGGTCCCGCTCTTAATCCTGTGCTGTGAGCCACAACTACTACTGAAGCTCTCTTTCTCTTTAGAATTTTACAGACGAATGTAGAAATGTAGAGCCTTGGTAGTACAGGGGTTTAAGGCACCCTGTTATTAAGCTGGTTATTAAGACCAGCTGCCTGCAATTACTGCAGGGTTCGAATCTCGCCAAGGCTCAAGGTTGACTCAGCCTTCCATCCTTTCTAAGGTAGGTGAAATGAGGACCCAGTTTGTGGGGGCAATAAGATGACTTATAAATATACAAAAGGATGAAGGCTATTACTGAGCACATTGTAAGCCGCCCTGAGTCTTCGGAGAAGGGCGGCATATAAATCAAATTAAAAAAAAAAAATCTTCTAGTTTTCTTGCTTTGAAAGCCTGCTCCAACCGCTTAGAAACATATCTCTACTCTTCTCCTCTTGTAGGACCCAAAAAATGTCAGATAGCAGAGGTGAGATGTTAACTCAAGAGGAAAAGGAATGGATATTGCCACCTGAGCAGAACATCTCAACATCCAACACAGCGGTGCGTGATGAAAAGACAGTGGAGATCTCACCGCAAGTTGGTGAAAAGGAATCTTCTGAAAGCACCAACAAGGACTTTGAAGAGCAACAGGCGTTAAATTTGGAAGGTCCTTCAAATGAACAACAGTCCAGTGGAGAAACAGCTAAGAGCGATGTGACTGACTGCAGTGACTCTATAAGCCTCGATCCAGAAGTGGTACATGAAGGGCTGAACGAAGAAAGGGATGCGGTAAGAAATAATCTGGCCAGAATTCTTTGCTGCGTTGATAGATAAGATTTGTTTACTCATTTACTGGATCTTTATCCTCCTTTTCCTTTATAAGTCAAGTCACTAGATATAATATTCCTCCTCCATTTTCCTCGTCACAGCACCAACTCAACCGTTTATAATGGTAGGGGGGAAAGACTTCATGTAAAGTTGCCAATTTTAGTTTCAGGATTTGCTTAGCTTGCTTAGATGCCCTCTTCCCTCCCCCCCCCAAAAAGATCTTCTTAAGAGAAAACACATGGATGGATGGATGGATGGATGGATGGATGGATGGATGGATGGATGGGTGGATGGGTGGATAGGTGAATGGATGGGTGGATGGATGAATGGATAAATGGACAGGTAGGTGGATGGATGGATGGATGAATCAATGGTTGGTTGGTTGGGTGGGTGGGTGGATGGTTGGGTGGTTGGATGGATGGATGGATGGATGGATGGATGGATGGGTGAATGGGTGGATGGATGGATGGATGGATGGATGGATTGATGGTTGGGTGGATGGATGGATGGACAGGTAGGTGGATGGATGGATGGATGGATGAGTGGGTGAGTAAATGGGTGAATGGATGGATGGATGGGTGGGTGGGTGAATGGATGGATGGATGGATTGATGAATTGATGGTTGGGTGGATGGATGGATGGTCAGGTAGGTGGATGGATGGATGGATTGATGAATTGATGGTTGGGTGGAAGGATGGATGGATGGGTGGGTGGATGGATGGGTGGGTGAATGGATGGATGGATAGATGGGTGGGTGAATGGGTGAATGGATGAATAGATGGATGGATGGATGGATGGATGGATTGATGAATTGATGGTTGGGTAGGTGGGTGGGTGGGTGAATGGACAGGTAGGTGAAGGATGGATGGATTGAAGAATGGATGGTTGGGTGGATGGATGGATGGTGAATGGGTGAATAGATGGATGGATGGATGGATTGAAGGATGGATGGATGGATTGAAGGATGGATGGATGGATTGATGAATTGATGGTTGGGTGGGTGGGTGGGTGGGTGGGTGGGTGAATGGACAGGTAGGTGCAGGATGGATGGATTGATGAATGGATGGTTGAGTGGGTGGGTGGGTGGATGTCTGGATGGATGGGTGTGTGAGTAGGTAGATGGAGGGATTTTAATTCCTAATGTCCGCATAGATAGCTATTCTCCATGATGATCTATCCCTAAGTTGACTTTCTTGACTTTCAGGTCCTCTAAAGGTGAATCAGTTGCCATTAAAACTGTGCACTCTATGAACTTGAAAGATACTTAGTTTAAAATGTGAACTGCATAATTTCTAATTGAAAATAGTTATTACTATTTGAGTAGAATATATGCAGCTGAGGGCTGAACTGTGATGCCCTTGGTGAGGACTCTGAGCTTGGCTGAAGAACTCCACAATTTTACCTTATAAGACCCCTGCCTCATGCCGCATATAGTTACTTTTTAAAAATTAATTATTAAATTGCTTAATAATTAATGTGTTCCTTCCATTGCACATAGCAATATTTAACAAATGCAAATGCTTTTCTGTTTCTGCAACTTTTTTTTTCTCGTAGGATTCGGTATCCAAAGGAAAAGGATGGAGCACTTGGGGGTCCTGGAGCAAATCCCTTCTTTCAACTGCTTCTGCTACAGTTGTTAAGTATCCAAACCCATATTAAGTTATGGCTTGTGTAAACGTTGTCTAAACATAGTTAAGCGTAAAGATATTATTTCCTCTATGATTAAGATCAGTCCTTGGCTTAAGAGTACATTGAATAGAATAGAATAACAGAGTTGGAAGGGACCTTGGAGGTCTTCTCGTCCAACCCCCTATTGTGGCTCCATTACCTGAGCCTGTGTCATTGGCAGGAGAGGACTCCGAGAGTGAAGGAGAGCAGTTGGCGAGGCCTCCCTCTCCAGGACCCTCCTCTCTGGCAATGCCTTCTGTGTCCGCCGAAGGGCAAGAGATAGGGCCGGGGCCAAGCACGTCCACACAGCCACAGGTGGACAGTAATGAGGGAGATGAGTCTTGGCTGGATCCTTGGCAGCGTCGCAGAGATAAGTGCGCGCAACAGAAGAAGAGGCGTGCCAGAGATTAAGCTGAGTCACTGGACCACACCCCACAGGGTATAAAAGAGGGTGTGGTAGCCGGTTCAGCTCTGTGACAAGCAAAAAATGGATATCGGACAACCTTCTTTGTATTTACTGGACTTTGTTGATTATTATGTATTGGCTTTGTTCCTGGACGAAGGGAGAAACTCCCCCCTCGTGAGTAAAGAATACCTGGCAGCCAGCCACTGAGTTGCTGCCAATTCTGATACCAGATAAACTGTTGTCAGCTGAGTTCTTTAGCTGTTGCCTGTCTGTGGAGGTGCGTGTGTGAGACGGGGACAGAACACCCCCTGCTTAGGCAGGAAACCCTACACCACTTCAGACAAATGGTTCTCCAACATCTTAAAAACTTCCAGTGTTGGAGCATCCACAACTTCTGGAGGCAGGTAGTTCCACTGGTTAATTGTTCTAACCGTCAGGAAATTTCTCCTTAGTTCTAAGTTGCTTCTCTCCTTGATGAGTTTCCACCCATTGCTTCTTGTCCTGCCCTCAGGTGCTTTGGAGAATAGCTTGACTCCCTCTTCTTTGTGGAAACCCCCTGAGATATTGGAAGACTGCTATCATGTCTCTCCTAGTCCTTCTTTTCATTAAACTAGACCTACCCAATTCCAGCAACCATTCTTCATATGTTTTAGTCTCCAGTCCCCGAATCATCTTTGTTGCTCTTCTCTGCACTCTTTCCAGAGTCTCCACATCTTTTTTACATCATGGCGACCAAAACTGAATGCAGAATTCCAAGTGTGGCCTTACCAAGGCCTTATAAAGTGGTATGAACACTTCACGTGATATTGATTCTATCCCTCTGTTTATGCAGCCTAGAACTGTGTTGGCTTTTTTTGGCAGCTGCTGCACACACATTGACACTAGGAGATGTTGTAAAAGGCTTCTCCCATTAGTTCAGGCCACAATAAAAGTTGTCACGGAGCTACCGTTGCTTAATTCTTTTTGGACGTTCGCATTTCTCTCGGAACCATCTCACTGCTGAGCCGTTTCTCCTTCTGCAAGATTCCACACCTCCAAAATAAACTAATCAGGCTAAAAATCTGCACCATCGATGCCAGACAGCCAAATACAGGTAATCCTCAACTTAGAACCACAACTGAGCCCCAAAATGTATGTTGCTGAGCAAGACAGTTGTTAAGACAAGAAGCAGTGGATGGAAACTAATCAAGGAGAGAAGCAACCTAGAACTAAGGAAATTTCTAATTTTCTGACAGTGAGAACAATTAACCAGTGGAACAGAAGTTGCCTCCAGAAGTTGTGAGTGCTCCAACACTGGAAGTTGTTAAGAAGAGATTGGACAACCATTTGTCTGAAATGGTAGAGGGTTTTCCTGCCTAAGCAGGGGGTTGGACTAGAAGACCTCCAAGGTCCCTTCTAACTCTGTTATTCTATTCTAGTGTGGGCTAGTGATGAAGGTGCTGGACCAAAATCCGAGTTCTAGTCTCCTTCAGGCCCAGAAATTTTGGCTCTCGTCCCCAAAGCAATGCTGGTGTCGACCGCACCAACTTGAACTTGTGCAGACTTCAGCTCCCAGAGTTCCCCACTCAGCTTGCTGGGGAATTCTGGGAGTTGAAGTCCATATGCCTTTAAGCCACTATGGCAGTGGTGAAATCTAAAATTTGTTACTACTGGTTCTGTGGGCGTGGCTTCGTGGGGGAGAGGGGGTAATGTGACTGGGAGGGCATGACCAACTTTTTTTTTTTTTACTTTTAAAACCATTTTTAAATGCTTTTAAAAGCATTTTTAAAAAAATGCTTTTAAAAGGCTCTGATGATCCCAGCTGACTTGCTTGATCGGCAGAGGCTTTTTTTCTTTTAAAATTGTTTTTTTTTAAAAATTTGATTTATATGCCGCCCTTCTCCGGAGACTCAGGGCGGCTTACAATGCGCTAAGCAATAGCCTTCATACTTCTGTATATTTATACAAAGTCAGCTTATTGCCCCCACAAACTGGGCCCTCAATTTACCTACCTTAGAAAGGATGGAAGGCTGAGTCAACCTTGAGCCTTGGCGAGATTCGAACCTGCAGTCATTGCAGGCAGCTGGTCTTAATAACCAGCTTAATAACAGGGTGCCTTAGACCACTGTACTACCAAGGCTCTTCTTTACCGGAGAACTGGTAAATACTACCCCTGACTGGCACCGCCCCCACCTATTCGGTGCCTCACGAATCCCAGCTGATCGGGAGGAATGGGGATTGTGCAGTAACCTTTCCCTGGAGTGGGGAGGGAATGGAGATATTGCAGTATCCTTCCCCTGGAGTTGGGAGGGAATGGAGATTTTACAGTATCCTTCCCCTGGAGTGGGGAGGTAATGGGGATTTTGCAGTATCTTTCCCCTGGAGTGGGGAGGGAATGGAGATTTTGCAGTATCCTTCCCCTGCAGTGGAGAGGGAATGGAGATTTTGCAGTATCCTTCCCTTGCCACGCCCACCAAGCCATGCCACGCCCACCAAGCCACACCCACAGAACCGGTAGTAAAAATTTTTGAAATCCATCACTGAACCACGACCTGGAGGACTGAGAATCTCCATAGAAAAGGCGGATCCTTTGAAAAACAAATGACAAAAACTGTCCATTTTTCTTTTCAAAGTGTAGTAAAATGTGGAAAAATCCATCAGGAAGAGAACATTCTCATTTGGCCATTTGTTCTTACTTAACCAAGTTCAAAAAGCAGACCGGTGCAATTAAATAAAACAGGATGGACAGCTGTCATTGATCTGGAGGAATTAAAATCTCCGGTGACACGGCGTTATTTCTAGATCATACAAAGTCAGTTGGAGAAGATGAAAACGAGGTTTTCTTAATAGTAGAAGAGACAAAGCAAAGTGAGATAGAGAAGGGTTGGTTCCAAATTAAATTAAGCACAAATGAGCTGAGAGCAGAAAAATAGACTCTGATACGATTGAAATCCATTCGCTGGGAACTTAATATGATTTAATGTTTCATCAGCTGATGGGAGAGTGCGTCAGAGCTGAAGGGCAATCTTTAAATCAAATCACTGAGTAAAGGTTGCATATTGGAATACTCCAAATGCATTAATCATTGGAATGCTCGAAATGTTTTGCCAGGGTGTAATTCCATGGGACGCGGTGGCTCAGTGGCTAAGACGCTGAGCTTGTCGATTGAAAGGTCGGCAGTTCAGTGGTTTCGAATCCCTAATGGCGCTGCGTAACGGGGTGAGCTCCCGTGACTTGTCCCAGCTTCTGCCAACCTAGCAGTTCGAAAGCACGTTAAAAAATGCCAGTAGAAAAATAGGGACCACCTTTGGTGGGAAGGGAAAAGCGTTCCGTGCACCGTTGGCGTTGAGTCATGTCGACCACATGACCACGGAGACATCTTCGGACAGCGCTGGCTCTTCGGCTTTGAAACGGAGATGAGCACCGGCGCCTAGAGTTGGGAACGACTAGCACATATGTGCAAGGGGAACCTTTACCTTTTTAATTCCACAAAATCCTGTAAATCCAAGCCAACGTTATTTTTTTTGGCACGTGGGCTGGTGGTGGCTGAGGCCAGAAACCCTCCCAAAATTGATCTCAGCCAGAGGTGGGCCTCACATACTGTAACAACCGGTTCTCCTAGCACTGGAAATGTGAGTGCACATGTCAAAAAACACGGCAATTTGCTCATGTGCGCCATCCACACATGGCATGCGGTGTCAAAAAACACAGCAATTTGCTTACGTGTGCCTTCCACGCATGCGTGCAGCATCAATAACACAGCAATATAGGACGGGATTGGGCCATAGCGGGTCACAAGTACCTGCAGGTTGCAACTACCGATTCGCCCGAACTGGCTGCGGCCCACCACTTGTCTCAGCATCTTTAATTGATAACACTGATCCTTCAGTGGCTCTCTTACTGATCGAATTTTTCATAGAGTTTCAGGATCAAGTAAAGATAGAGCAGTTGCATTTCAAATATGCAGGTAATCCTCGACTTATGACCTCAAGGGAGCCCAAAATCCCTGTGGTTAAGCGAAACATTTGTTCAGTGAGTTTTGCCCCGTTTTACGACCTTTCCTGCTACCATTGCTAAGTGAATCGTTGCCATTGTTAAGTTAGTAATTCAGTGAAATCTGCTTTCCCCATTGACTTTGCTTCTCAGAAGATCCCCAATCCCTGGACACTACAACGGTCATAAATGTGAATCAGTTGCCAAGCATCTGAATTTCGATCCCATGATCGTGGGGCTGACCCAAAGGTCGTAAGTGTGAAAAAAGGTCATAAGTCACTTTTTTCCCCAGTGCCGTTGAAATTTTGAATAGTCACTAAATGAACGGCTGTAAATCAAGGACTACCTATACGTGTCCCACTTCAGGTCAAGGATTAACAGCAGTGAAAGAAAAAGCCGGCATTCTCCGAACTCGCGCCCCTTCTTCGACGTCTTCAGATGGCGGACCTCCAGAGACCTCCGAAAACATCGTCACAGGTCTTGTCTTTCTCAAGAGATCTGCCCGAAAACTCTTGTTTTCCTCGCGAAATTGATGAGCGTCTTCTTACTGGGTTTTCTTTTCTTTTTTCCTATTTGGTTTCTCCTTTTAAGATGTGGAAGAAGATCGACAGCAGAGTTTTGAAGAGAACGTGGCCTTGTCCTCATCTCCTTCAGGATCGCGGGGAGTGTTGTCCACCATCACTAGCGCTGTGCAGAATACCGTAAGGATTTCTAGGGATAAAAGAAGAGGAAGGACGGACAATGATAGTAACTGGGAGGGAAACAGTGGTGGGATTCAAATAATTTAACAACTGGTTCTCTGCCCTAATGACCGGCTGGGTGGGCGTGGCCAGAGAGTGTGACAGGCAGCACTTGGCCTCCTGCGCTCTCCTGGGAGCAAAAACGGGGCGCCGGGGGACGCCGTCCCTCCGCGCCGTTTTGGGCCTTGTAGGCCACCCTGCAGCCTCCTGGGAGCAAAAACGGGCCAGGGGGCGGTGCACACCACATCCCCACCCCGTGCCCCGTTTTGGGCCTAGTAGGCCTCCCTGCAGCCTCCTGGGAGCAAAAACGGGCCGGGGGGGCGGGGCAAACCACATTTCCCCCACCCCGTGCCCCGTTTTGGGCCTAGTAGGCCTCCCTGCAGCCTCCTGGGAGCAAAAACAGGCCGGGGGGGGCGGGGCAAACCACATTCCCCCCCCTGTGCCCCATTTTGGACCTAGTAGGCCTCCCTGCACTTACCTGGGAGCCAAAATGGGGCGCGTGGGAACTCCTGGAAGGGGTGGGGCCAGCCAGAATTTTTTTTTTTTTTTACTTTAATTTATATGCCGCCCTTCTCCGGAGACTCAGGGCGGCTTACAATGTGTTAAGCAATAGCCTTGTTTGTTTGTTTGTTTTGTTTTATTAAATTTATATACCGCCCTACTCCCGAAGGACTCAGGGCGGTGAACAGGCACAAAATAAAATACATAGATACAAAAGTTAGAAACCTAATTAAAACCAGATTAAATAATTTAGCCCGAGACATTAAAAACCCCAATAATTTAAAACAGATTAAAATTTCGATTCAAAAGAATTTTAAAACAGGGGAGAAAATTAGGCCAGGCCGGCTTGCTGGAATAGGAGGGTCTTAAGAGCACGGCGGAAAGTGCGCAGATGAAGCAATAGCCTTCATACTTTTGTATATTTATACAAAGTCAGCTTATTGCCCCCACAATCTGGGTCCTCATTTCACCTACCTTTGAAAGGATGGAAGGCTGAATCAACCTTGAGCCTGGTGAGATTTGAACTTGCAGTAATTGCAAGCAGCAGATGTTAATAACAGTGTGTTGGAAGAAACATCCTTCTGGGTTCTGCTCCAAGTGGGGAAACAGACACTGGAAACATGGAGACTGCTTGGAAAGATGGTTTAATGGTGGACAGGATCACATGGCTTGAGTTCCTGAACAGAAAAGGGCAGATACAGCGAGTTTTTCAGGTTTTATACTCTCTCTGGCTTTGAACTTCCTGGGGCCCAGAAAGAGTATCCTGATTGGTTGTCAGACTCCCAGGGGGTGGGGGTCTTGCTGGCTGATGGTCACATGTGCTTCCCAGGTCACATGTGGTGAGTCTCTGCTGCTATTGTGTAGAGGGCTAATCCTATCTTTGGCAATTCCTACTATGGCTCTGCCTGAAGGAGGCAGATCTTTGTTATGTAGAGTAGACTGGCCCAGGCCTTAATGGCCCATTGACAAAGGGTGGGGGGCAGGAAGGTGGCAGCTGCTTTGTCTGTAAAATATGCTTCTCATATTTCTGCCTTTTTCATATTTCCTAAAATATTTCACTCTTCCAGGAAAGGGGTGGGTGCTAACTTCCTACAATCCCTACTCTTTTTTTTTTTCAAAACATGAGTTTTGAAACAAGTTCTTGGCAAAAGATTAAAATTGATCACATCAGGGAGCCTTAATGGGTGCTTTTAATTTTCTAATGCAAAGGGGAGGCATTGATAGAGGCAACAGAAAAGGATTCCTTCAGTGGCTTCCAAAAGCTTTCAACCATGAAGGTCTAGCAGCCAGGGGAAAAGTTCTGGTAAGAATTTTACAGTATCCAATTTTCCATGCCAATTAATTTCAGACTTCAGATATTACTTTCTGTGAGCTTCCAGTCAGGTTTCAAGCAAACACATGTCCCAAAATTTTTCACAGCCATGATTTTCCTTTAAATTGCAGGCTGCCCATTTCCAAGGGTTGGTTACTGAACCTGTCCTAGCTCTTAGTTTAGTGCATCCAGGATTTGTGAGTCCAAATTGAGGTTAGCCAGTGTACAATATCCATTCTTTTTTTTTTTTTAGTGTTACACATAATGAGCCCTGGGATTTCTACTCATGAGACCACCAGTGCAATATATCTTCCTTTACTGGGCAACTGGGCAGCCTCATTTGTGAGTCACAGTCAGGGCTTGGGTTTTGGAGATCACTTTTTCTGCTATCTCTTCAAGTAAGGGAATTGCCTGAGGGGGATTGTCCCCTCCCCCATGGAATTAGCAGGGAGATATGACTCCTTGGGCTTTTAGTGCCACAGAGCAAAAATCAACCTAGGAGAAGCTTTGTGTGGAGGTAAGGGAAGGGAATAGTTTCAATCTAATTCTGAATAGTGTGTGTCTCTCTGTGTGTGCATGTGTATGCAGCTACTTTTACAATACAGGCAATACAAACATTTTGGACATATTTCTCCTCTCCACCAGACAGAAATCTAGAGTGTACATAACTTGCTGTGGCAATCACTCCCAAATACAATTCTTACAATAAACTGATTACAATATAAATGAGACAAGAAAGAAAACCTTACAATGAATTTCCACCCTCCCCCCATAGTCTTTCCAGCTGTCTTCTGGGAATTGAAAAGAGTCTTTTGGTCTTTACTTGTACATCTCAGGGTCTTTTCTTTCATGTCTGCTGGGTAGCATGCTTGGTGGTAAGGCTGGTCAGTCAGGCTTGGAAAGGTCTGCTCCACTCTGGTTGCTGTGCTGACTTTCAGTGGAGGCTGGATTCAAACCCAATTCCTGGTTCAAACAGATGGAGGGTCTCCTTTGGAGGCAGCATCTGGATCCATGTGCTCTGCTTCCACAGGTTGCAGAGTCCTTTGTGCAGGGCTGAAAGACATTAGAACAGGGTCCCCTCCCCCCTTTTTTGTGGGTAATCTTCCCAGGAAAGGCATTGTAACAGGATTACAGATTGGGGGGGGTGTAGATAGCTTGCAGGCAGAGTTTGAAAAGAAACAACACAACAGTATTGCAGTTACTAAACAGATAATGCAGTTTCAACAAAATGGAGACACAATAGATAAGAAAAAAACTGGATTCACATGATTCAGGAAAGAGATGAACAGGTAAAACCCATTTAAACACATACAGTAAATGCAAGACTGATTTTTTTTCTTGTAAACAAACTTAAAATGTTTCCTCATAAACTTGAGTTGTTACTTTAAGATACAGAGAGAGGAGGAGAAAAAAAAACAGAAATGAAATGAAATGCTCTCTTTAATCTGTGTTTGTTGGCCAGACAAACACAGGGCAAAGGCTCTTTCTTTCTTTTTTCTCTCTCTTCCCCATTTTCATTGCTTCAACCTTTTTTTTCCCTTTTCTAACAATTTAAAATTCTTGTCTCTAGAGATCAGATACATTTTACAGTTACAATTACCTCGAGGGCGCACAAAGACTTAAGACACACACACATAAAAAGAAGAAGGACAAAGAGAAGAAAGCAGAACTCTGAGATTTCGCACATACTGATCATTCCCACCATAAATCTCAGTTAAATTAGGGAAGGCACAAATCTTAAAAATACCACGTGGTTGCATAGAAGACAGAGACAAACAAACAAACAAACAAACAAACAAAGAAAACAAACAAAACAAACAAAAACCCCAACATTCCTATTTATATATTTCCCTTTTCTTTTAAGTACCTTTATTTAGCCAAATTTGTCTCCCGGTGTTATCTCTTAGCAAAGCCCATTTTTGACACAATTTTCCTAATTTCCTTTTATCCATGCCCCTCAATATGGGCACCCGCCTGGCGTCCCAGGCCGCGAGCACTTCTTCCACAGGGGTCCCCGCCACCCGCGAACTATCGCTACCCATGACCCTTTCCTTTTCTCCGGAAGGATCACTTCGACTTAGCCGGGTGGCACGCCGTCAGTTTTCAGAGAAAAAGCTCTGGGAAGGACTTCGATTCCCTTACGAAGTATGGGCCCCTTCCTCTTAGGGAATCGCCGTAGTTTTTCGGATCCAAAAAGGGGATCCGGGAGGACCTGCTGACCCCAGCAGGTGGTACTGGCACCTCCTCTCACACACACACGCTCGCCCCGTGTCTGGGCTGGACAAAACCGGGTTTCCCTTTCACAATTTATTAATCCCCCCTTTTTCACACGCTTGGCTTTCGCTTGGCTTCCATTCCTTTTAAACACAAAGTTCCACATTTGGCAACCCCCCCTTGCTTTCTCTATCCTACCGGTCATGGCTCGGTGGAGCTAGCAGTAGGCAGAGGTGCGGCTAGAGGTCACTCAAAGAGGTGAAATCAGACTGTTTTCCAGGTGGAATCCCACACACACACTTCCTCCTTCCCTAACAGAAGGTCCTGTGCTCTGGCAAAACCCCCATGCTCTCCAGACTGTTAGTCTTTCTGCGGCTAGGAAATGCACAGAGGAAGCAAGATCCAACTGTGATTGGGAGAAGGGCCTTCACTCACACACATGCAGGCATACACAAATTTCCCATGCTTTTCCATACTTTAAAATTAAAATTTAGAGGTACTCACCTTCTTTCCAAGCAGCCTTTGAGCTCAAACTCAAAACCCCTTTAAAACCTAGTTCCAAATGGCCAAGGTCCATGAAAACATACCCACAGACTCAATGGGTCTGCTGCTAGCAAGGGAGGCTTACCTGGGCCTGGTCCATTGGTTAGGTTAGCTTGGAGTCCCACTGGGTCGCCAATTGTTGGAAGAAACATCCTTCTGGGTTCTGCTCCAAGTGGGGAAACAGACACTGGAAACATGGAGACTGCTTGGAAAGATGGTTTAATGGTGGACAGGATCACATGGCTTGAGTTCCTGAACAGAAAAGGGCAGATACAGCGAGTTTTTCAGGTTTTATACTCTCTCTGGCTTTGAACTTCCTGGGGCCCAGAAAGAGTATCCTGATTGGTTGTCAGACTCCCAGGGGGTGGGGGTCTTGCTGGCTGATGGTCACATGTGCTTCCCAGGTCACATGTGGTGAGTCTCTGCTGCTATTGTGTAGAGGGCTAATCCTTGTTGGATCTTTGGCAATTCCTACTATGGCTCTGCCTGAAGGAGGCAGATCTTTGTTATGTAGAATAGACTGGCCCAGGCCTTAATGGCCCATTGACAAAGGGTGGGGGGCAGGAAGGTGGCAGCTGCTTTGTCTGTAAAATATGCTTCTCATATTTCTGCCTTTTTCATATTTCCTAAAATATTTCACTCTTCCAGGAAAGGGGTGGGTGCTAACTTCCTACAAGTGCTTAGTCCACTGTACTACAGGCTCTTTTTCAGGCTCAGTTTAACAATCGGTACGCCTGAACTGGCCCGAACCGGCTGAATCCCACCAGTGGACAGGGATCTTGAAGTCCTAATGGACAATTACTTAAAGATGAGCCAGCCGTGTGTTGCAGCTGCCAAAAAAGCCAACACAGTTCTAGGCTGCATAAACAGAGGGATAGAATCAAAATCATGTGAAGTGTTAATACCGCTTTATAATGCCTTGGTAAGGCCACAGTTGGAATCCTGCATTCAGTTTTGGTCGCCACGATGTAAAAAAGATGTGGAGACTCTAGAAAAAAATGCAGAGAAGAGCAACAAATAATGATTAGAGGACTGGAGGCTAAAACGTATAAAGAACGATTGCTGGAATTGGGCAGGTCTAGTTTGATGAAAAGAAGGACTAGGGGGGACATGATAGCGGTGTTCCAATATCTCAGGGGGTTTCCACAAAGAAGAGGGAGTCAAGCTATTCTCCATTTGGTGGCATCCAAAGGATTAGCCACAAACCCACAAATCCTGATTCTTAGAATAGAGAGAAAAATACATTCATAAACTGCAAATTCAGTGATCCTGTATAGAGGTGGGCTTCAAAAATTTTAGCAAGGGGTTCTTTGCCCGGTTGCTGGGTGGGTGTGGCCATGGTGGGCCTATTCGGCCTCCTGTGTTGTGGAATAATTAGACCAGCACAACTTTCCTAGGTTAGTCAGAGACAGTGTATTGCGCAATAGGTTCAGAGCCAGTTTGTACATGAAGCTTTGAACAAAGACAGAACTTAATTACAATGGTTTTATACCCTTCTAAGACAAAGGATTCTGTTAACTCAGCAGTTTTATCATTGCAGACATTCGTTACATTATCTTTGCCAAACAGTCATAATTCTTCTTGTAAATCACCGAAGCATAGATTCAAATTATCTCTTGTTGATATTTCATGTAGTCATCCTTGGTCTCTTTAACCTTCAAACTGTATATCACCAAATGTCTCTATCTCTGACAACTGAGGGGCCCCTCTTGTAGAATGTTTCTACTTCAAAGGAATTTGTCTGCCTTTGTACTGTTTCAACTGGATATAGTTGCTTCTCTCAAACAAGCAAATTTTCTTTCTTACAATACTATAATAAAGAGGACCCTTCAGTGACCATCTAGCTGGACCTGCATTACCTACATTACTTGCATCATGGCAGGGGGGCGTTTTTGCCCTCCCTGGACTCCGGAGGCTTTTCTTGAGCCTCCGGGAAGGCGAAAACGGCCTCCCCAGGCTCTGGAGGCCCCTCTGGAGGCCAGAAACAGGCCCGTTTCTGGCCTTCCCGAACTTCCGGTAGGCCTGTTTTTCACCCTCCCCGAGCCTCCGTGTGCACCCTGCACTTACCTGCATCCAAAACGGGCCGCGTGGGGACTCCTGGGAGGAGAGGGGAGGGATGGGCGGGGACAGCCAGGAGTGGGATTTGGTGGTTCCCCAAACTGCACAGAATCTTAGCTAGAGATTCTCCCGAACTCCTGAGAACCCACAGTAGCCCACCCCTGGTCCTATACCAGTCTCCCAATAGGGCATCTTTCAAAGATGTTGGAGGCAAATTCTCATAATTCCCAACCATGTCAATCGTGGCTGTTTAACTAGAAATTGGGTGTGTGTGTGTGTGTGTAATTCATGCTATCAGGAAAGCATTCGTGGGAAGATAAATGCTATCTAGCTTTGTAATGACCTAATATAACAGAACCCAAGGCAAACATATTTTAAAATATATATATATTATTATATACGTATATAATAACATATAATACAGTATGTGTAATACTGCTTTTATGCTCCATGTGCTTAGAGCTCAAAGCATTGTTAGAGACCCCACACACCCTCTCCGCGGTCTGTTTCTGTTGCTCCCCTCCAGGAGGAGATTTTGAAGTATTTCTAGCAGGACTATCAGATTCTGTAACAGCTTTGTTCCCAAGGCCATCCCTCTGGTAAACTCTCAAGATTCGTTTCTCCCTCCATGTTACATGTATACATCCAAACTAGTCTGTGATGTTTCTCTGTGTCATGTGTGTGGGTGGGTGTCGCTCTATGCATATTGGTTTTGAGAGCTGAACGCAACAAAATTTCTTCTATTCTATTCTATTCTATTCTATTCTATTCTATTCTATTCTATTCTATTCTATTCTATTCTATTCTATTCTATTCTATTCCATTCCATTCCATTCCATTCCATTCCATTCCATTCCATTCCATTCTTTATTCCTGTACTTTATTTCCCCTTCCCTTCCCTTTCCCTTCCCTTCTTCATTCCTGTATTTTATTATATTCCTCATTCCATTATTCTCTTCTCTTCTCTTCTCTTCTCTTCTCTTCTCTTCTCTTCTCTTCTCTTCGCTTCTCTTCGCTTCTCTTCTCTTCGCTTCTCTTCGCTTCTCTTCGCTTCGCTTCTCTTCCCTTCCCTTCCCTTCCCTTCCCCTCCTCCCTTCCCTTCCCTTCCCTTCCCTTCCCTTCCCTTCCCTTCCCCTCCTCCCTTCCCTTCCCTTCCCTTCCCTTCTTCATTCCTCTATTCTATTCTATTCCTCATTCCATTATTTTCTTCCCTTCCCTTCCCTTCCCTTCCCTTTCATTCCATTCCATTCTTCATTCCTCTATTCTATTCTATTCCTCATTCCATTATTCCCTTCCCTTTCCCTTCCATTCTTCATTCCTGTATTTTATTATATTCCTCATTCCATTATTCTCTTCTCTTCTCTTCTCTTCTCTTCTCTTCTCTTCTCTTCTCTTCTCTTCTCTTCTCTTCTCTCTCTTCTCTTCCCTTCCCTTCCCTTCCCTTCCCTTTCCCTTCCCTTCTTCATTCCTCTATTCTATTCTATTCCTCATTCCATTATTCTCTTCCCTTTCCCTTCCATTCTTCATTCCTGTATTTTATTATATTCCTCATTCCATTATTCTCTTCTCTTCTCTTCTCTTCTCTTCTCTTCTCTTCTCTTCTCTTCTCTCTCTTCTCTTCCCTTCCCTTCCCTTCCCTTCCCTTTCCCTTCCCTTCTTCATTCCTCTATTCTATTCTATTCCTCATTCCATTATTCTCTTCCCTTCCCTTCTCTTCCCTTCCCTTCTTCATTCCTCTATTCTATTCTATTCCTCATTCCATTATTCTCTTCCCTTCCCTTCCCTTCCCTTCCTTTCATTCCATTCCATTCTTCATTCCTCTATTCTATTCTATTCCTCATTCCATTATTCCCTTCCCTTCCCTTTCCCTTCCATTCTTCATTCCTGTATTTTATTATATTCCTCATTCCATTATTCTCTTCTCTTCTCTTCTCTTCTCTTCTCTTCTCTTCTCTTCTCTTCTCTTCTCTTCTCTTCTCTTCTCTTCCCTTCCCTTCCCTTCCCCTCCCCTCCCCTCCCCTCTTCCCTCCCCTTCCCCTCCCCTCCTCCCTTCCCTTCCCTTCCATTCTTCATTCCTCTATTCTATTCTATTCCTCATTCCATTATTCTCTTCCCTTCCCTTCCCTTCCCTTCCCTTCCATTCTTCATTCCTCTATTCTATTCCACTCTGAAATTAATGGGGTTTACTTATTCACAAGTAAATATATCAAAGTGCTGATGAACCTGAGCGTTCTGCTCAATTTTACACAGGGTAAAAGTGTCTTAACTGGCGGACTTGACGCTTTGGAATTTATCGGCAAGAAAACCATGAACGTTCTAGCAGAAAGCGATCCTGGATTCAAGAAAACCAAAATCCTGATGGAACGGACCGTTTCTTTATCTCAGGTGAAACATGCACAGAGCGATTAACCTCATAAACAGCGATTCTTAGCCAGACGCTTCTAATTTAGTCCTGTCTAGACGAGTTGGTGCCACTTCCGCCTGATTTGGCAGGATGTGATACTAGTCGTCGTAGGTTCGACATAAAACATCAGTAATTACGGATGATTTTTCAGGATTTTTGGACAAGGCAGAAGCCTTGTCATCATTGATTGATACCCATGAGTAACAATATATGACACTAGTTATGATCAAGAGGTATTCAGCCGCTTCGGACCGGTTCGCCTGAACTGGTAGCAGAAATCACAGGTGGGCCTGCGCACCCGTCCCGGCTCTATGCCATCCTATTTAGGCACATTTTTTAGGCTGGACGCTTGCGCAAAAGGCCGGGCACATGCGTGGACAGGGCGCCTGTGAGTGAAGAGAGCGCCCGAATGCGCAAACACACATTTGCAAATCGGTAGGGCAGGGGTGAAATGCTACCGGTTCAGACGGTTCGGGCAATTCGGTAGCGATTGTGGCAGGTGGTTCGAAGAACCGGTAGTGATGGTGGCGCGAGGCTCCACCCACTGGCCCGGGTGTCATTACTTCCTGGTTTTAACCAGGAAGTAATGTGTTTTTTACCCTCCGTGCGTGCGCAGAAGGTTTCACGCAGGTGCAGACGGTCTGTACGCGCATGTGACAGGCGCGGTGTGTGTACTTCCGAACCGGTAAGGAAGATAAGTAGATTTCACCCCGGTGGTAGGGAAAGTAAGTGAATATCATGCCTGGCTATGATGTTAATTGGGTACGGCATGTGTTACAATTCATTTTCTTATTTTATCTTTCTTATTTTACCTATTGGTCTCTATTGGGCCTGGGTCTAGAGACGAGGACATCTGTCAAATCTGTTTCGCAGCCCGTAAATCAGAATCTTCCTCTCTGTATTTTCGCAGATGCTACGGGAAGCCAAAGAGAAAGAAAAGCAAAGACTTGCCCAACAAGCCACGATGGAGCCGACAGCACATTACGGGGTGCTCTTCGATGACTTTCAAGGTTTGTCACATCTGGAAGCTTTGGAAATTCTGTCCAACGAAAGTGAAGCCAAGGTACGGTCGACGAGTTGCATAAATTTTTTTAAGGAAAATTTTAAGGGGACCCGGGAGGGAGGGAGGGGTTGTAAAAGTGGACCTGGGGGGGTCCAGATAGCGACTGCACAGGATGATGGGTTAATTAGCTGCAGCAGAGGGGTTGCGAAAGGAAATTTAACCGGGGGGCAGGGGGACGATAGAAAGGGCTGTGTAATTGAAATCATGAGTGGGAGGGGCAGGTATGACGGGCGCAGGGGGTCATATCAAGTGTCGGGGGTGCGCACACGCTGTCTCCGAGCGATTGCGCACTCCGGCCCCCAATGCGTGACTCGTGTCCTGGGTTATATAGAGCCTCATGCCCAGGGTCTGCGGCTGATGTTATGTAATGCCAGGTCAGTGGTTAATAAGGCCTCCCTCATCTGTGATCTTATTTCGGAGGGGGGTGCAGACCTGGCAGGTATTACGGAGACCTGGTTGGGCCAAGAGGGGGGGGTCCCCCTCGTAGAGATGTGCCCGCCAGGTTTCCGTGCATTTCATCAGCCAAGGGCCCAGGGGAGGGGTGGGGGAGTGGCGGTGATCATTAGGGAGAGTCTTTATCCGAGGGAGACCACTGTTCCTCAGATAGCCGGATGTGAGTCCCTTTGTGTGAAGTGGAGCCGTGGAGTGCAGATGGGTCTGCTGACTACGTACCTGGCTCCCTGCCACGTGGCAGCAACCCTGCCCGAGCTACTCGACGTCATTGCCGGGGTGGCGGTCGATACCCCCAGACTTATTGTCATGGGGGATTTCAACCTCCCATCCACAGGTGGGGCGTCAGAGATGGCTCGGGAGTTCATGGCTTCCATGACGGCCTTGGACCTGACCCAGTTAGTTCAAGGCCCCACTCACATAGGGGGACACACTCTGGACCTGATTTTTATCTCTGGTCAGTGGTTGAATGATCTTGGTAGAGGGGACCTAGACATCAAACCCTTGTCATGGACAGATCATTCGCTCCTTCACTTAGACTTTCCTACCGCTTTCCCCCGCCGCAGGGAGATGGAACCAACCAGATGGTTCCGTCCCAGGCGCCTGATGGATCCCGAAAGGTTCCTGACGGAGCTTGGGCCGTTTCCTGAGACTCTAACACACGACTCGACTGAAGAACTGGTGGCCGCCTGGGAAAGGGCGGCCGCTGGAGCTTTGGACCGTGTCGTGCCTTTGCGGCCTCTGACCCGATGCCGATCTCAATTAGCTCCTTGGTTCTCTGAGGAGCTGAGAGAGATGAAGCGTCGGAAAAGACGCCTAGAGAGCATTTGGAGGACTAGTCAATCCGATTCTGACCGGACACAGGTGAGGTCTTATATCAAGACCTACCTAGTGGCGATAAAAGCGGCAAAATCTAACCATTTTTCCGTTCTTATCGCATCTGCAGAGAACCGCCCAGCTGCCCTGTTTAGGGTGACCCACTCCCTTCTTCGGGGGGGAGTACGGGAAGATCCCTTGCAGGGTCGTGCTAAGGATTTTGTGCAATTCCTACATGATAAAGTCGCTCGGATTCGGGATGGCTTGGACTCCGATTGGATGAGTCCACGGGAGGAGACCGGGGCAGGTCTTGAGAATGTTATCTGGGAGGAGTTTGATCCTGTGACTCCCGAGGATGTGGACAGAGTTCTGGGTAAGATTAGTGCCGCCACGTGTTTATTGGACCCGTGCCCCTCCTGGTTGGTACTGGCCTCCCGGGAGGTTACACGAGGCTGGCTCCAGGGGATTATAGGTGCTTCTCTGAGTGAGGGTGCCTTTCCTGCCGCCTTGAAAGAGGCGGTGGTGAGGCCCCTCCTCAAGAAGCCTTCCCTGGACCCGGCTGAATTAGCTAACTATCGTCCAGTCTCCAACCTTCGTTTTGTGGCGAAGGTTGTTGAGAGCGTGGTGGCACGACAACTTTCCCGACACCTGGATGAAGCTATCTATCTAGACCCGTACCAGTCGGGCTTCAGGCGGGGGTACAGCACAGAAACGGCATTGGTCGCGTTGGTGGATGATCTCTGGAGGGCTCGGGACAGGGGTTGCTCCTCTGTCCTAGTCCTATTAGATCTCTCAGCGGCTTTTGATACCATCGACCATGGTATCATACTGCAGCGGTTGAGGGGGTTAGGAATAGGGGGCACCGTTTTGCGGTGGTTCTCCTCCTTCCTCTCCGACCGCTCGCAGTTTGTGTTGGCAGGGGGACAGAGGTCGACCTCGAGGCGTCTCACATGGGGGGTGCCGCAAGGGTCAGTCCTCTCGCCCCTCCTGTTCAATATTTATGTGAAGCCGCTGGGTGAGATCATCCGTGGTTTTGGGGTGAAGTGCCATCTGTACGCTGATGATACTCAGCTGTACATCTCCACCCCAGACCACCCCAACGATGCCCTTGATGTGATGTCTCGCTGCCTGGAGGCCGTGCGGATCTGGATGGGGAAGAACTTACTCAGACTCAACCCCTCCAAGACCGAGTGGCTATGGCTTCCAGCGCCCCGATATAGTCAGCAGGTGCCATCGCTAACTATTGGGGGTGAATCTCTGCCCCCCACAGAGAGGGCTCGCAATCTGGGTGTCCTTTTGGATGCACGGCTGTCTTTAGAAGAGCATATGACGGCCGTGGCCAGGGGGGCCTTTTATCAGGTTCGCCTGATTCACCAGTTGCAGCCCTTTCTGGATCGGGACGCCCTACGCACGGTCACTCATGCCCTTGTTACTTCCCGGTTGGACTATTGTAATGCTCTCTACATGGGGCTCCCCTTGAAGAGCACTCGGAGGCTCCAACTGGTCCAGAATGCGGCCGCGCGGGTGGTTATGGGCGCAACTCGTTGTGCCCATGTGACACCCCTCCTGCGCGAACTGCACTGGCTCCCAGTGGTCTTCCGGGTGCGATTCAAGGTGTTAGTTACCACCTTTAAAGCACTCCATGGCATAGGACCCGGGTACCTCCGAGACCGTCTTCTGCCACCAATAGCCTCCCACCGACCAGTCCGTTCCCACAGGGAGGGTCTCCTCAGGGTGCCATCAACCAAGTTATGTCGACTGGCGGCGCCCAGGGGGAGGGCCTTCTCTGTGGGAGCCCCAGCCCTGTGGAACGAACTGCCCCCGGAAATTCGTAAGATCTCCGACCTCCGGGCGTTTCGCTGCGCACTGAAGACCCTATTATTCCGCCAGGCCGGACTAACAACACAATAGTTTTTAAATTGGGATATTTAAATTTATTGGGGTTTTAAATCTGAGCCACTTTATTTAATTATTTTAAATTTTATATTGTTGTTTTGTTTGTGTTTTTAAACAGGCTGTACACTGCCCTGAGTCCTTCGGGAGAAGGGCGGTATAGAAATAAAATTATTATTATTATTATTATTATTATTATTATTATTATTATTATTATTATTATTATTATTATTATAAATCAAGGGAAGGACAACGGGAGATGCTTTTCAAAAAATGGTTTCCAGCAGCATAGCAATAGCCCTTAGACTTATATATCACTTCACAGTGCTTTTTACATTCCTCTTTAAGCGGTTCACAGAGTCAGGATCAAACCTCTGGCAGTGGGCAGTTAGCCTGCAATGTTGCATTCTAACTTCTGTGCCACCATGGGAAGGATGAAAGGGGGGAGGGAGGGAGAGAGGGAAGGAAGGAGAGAGGGAGAGAGAAAGGGAAGGAAGGAGGGAGGGAGGGAGGAAGGGAAGGAAGGAGGGAGGAAAGGAAGGAAGGAGGGAGGGAAGGAGAGAGGGAAGGAAGGAGGGAGGGAGGGAGGGAAGGAGGGTGGGAAGGAAGGAGGGAGGGAGGGAGGGAAGGAGGGAGGGAGGGAGAGAGGGAGAGAGGGAAGGAATGAGAGAGGAAGGTAGAGAGGGAAGGAAGGAGGGAGGGAGAGAGGGAGGAAAGGAAGGAGGGAGGGAGAGAGAGAGGGAAGGAAGGAAGGAGGGAGGAAGGGGAGAGAGGGAAGGAAGGAAGGAAGGATAGCAATAGCACTTAGACTTATATACCGCTTCACAATACTCTACAGCCCTCTCTAAGTAGTTTACAGAGTCGGGATCGAACCTCTGGCAGTAGGCAATTAGCCTGCAATATTGCATTCTAACTACTATGCCACCATGGGAAGGAAGGAAGGAGGGAGGGAGGGAGGGAAGGAAGGAAGGAAGGAAGGAAGGAAGGAAGGAAGGAAGGAAGGAAGGAAGGAAGGAAGAAAGGAAGGACGGACTAGCAATGAGGGGTCCTTTGGTGCTCTCTGAGCTTGATTATTTTCTTGCAAATGTTTCGTGACCAAACTAGGCAATATCATCAGCGCTTATTGTAAGTAATGCATACAGGCCACCTCTGTTTTTCTCAAACACGCTGTACCACAGCTGTGATGAAACAATCTGCCCAAAATATACATATCTGGTATTGTAATGTTTATTTATTTTTTTCAGGTACAATCGTATTTGACATCTCTTGAAGGAGAGGAACTAGAAGCCGCCAAAAATGTGTTGATTGCTATTAAGGCAGTCTTCCTTTCGCAAGACTCAGAAAACCAAGACAAAGAAATAAAAAAAGGTAGTTGCTGAATTGACCTATTATAGCAAGGGTGGGGAACTGTGGCCCTTTTATGACTTGTCGACTTCAACTCCCAGAATTCCTGAGCCAGCATACCAGGGGTGAAATGCTCCCGGTTAGGACCGGATTGCCCAATCCGGTAGCGATGGCGGCGGGTGGTTCAGAGAACCTGTAGCAAAAATCCCTGCGCCCCTCCCCCATGCCCAGCTGAGCCGTGTGAAGTCGGATGAAATGGTTGTAGAAAAAATGGTTTTAAAAGCCTCTGACGATCCCAGCTGAGTTGCCTGATCGGCAGAGGCTTTTTTTTTCTTTTAAAAGCCTCTGACGATCCCAGCTGAGTTGCCTGATCGTCAGAGGCTTCTAAAAGCATTTTTTTCTGCAACCTCTTAAGGTTGTAGAAAAAATGCTTTTAAAAGTAAAAAAAAAAGTTAGCTACGCCCACCCAGTCACATTACCCCCCACCCCACCAAGCCACGCCCACAGAACCGGTAGTAACAAATTTTAGATTTCACCCCTGCATAGCTGGCTCAGGAATTCTGGGAGTTGAAGTCCACAAGTCCTAAAGGGGATAGTTCCCCACTTCTTTATTAAAGGATCTAGTTATTGATTCAAAACTATATGTTTTGTGAGATATGAGCAGCTGGATCCTTTAAAAAATTCTGCCGAAGCACTTTCTATTGAAAATACTATTTCCTTAAATTTAATAGGGCTTTTCCAGTCCTTTCTGTGTTTTGCCTTCTCTTCTCAATATGGTGAAATTTGTAGATGCTTTTTATTTGTTAAGTTTTCCTCTCATTGGGAAATGAAACATCCACATGACAGCCTCAGCTTACTTGCTGAGTAAGAAGATGTATTTTAATTATTTTCCTGCGTGCAATGGAATCAGACGCTGCCTCCAAGGTGGAAAATAAGCAGTTATCTTGGAAATTAGAAGTTATCCTGTTCAGTTAGAACATAGAGGAGAACAATGCCTCAGTGGTGAAATCCAATTTTTTTTTACTACTGGCTCTGTGGGCGTGGCTTAGTGGGCGTGGTGTGGCTTGGTAGGTATGGCTTGGTGGGCGTGGCAGGGGAAGGATTCTGCAAAATCCCTTCCCTCCCCATTCCTGGGGGAAGGATATTGCAAAATCTCCATTCCCTCCCCACTCCAGGGGAAGGAAACTGCAAAATCCCCATTCCCTCACCACTCCAGGGGGAAGGATACTGCAAAATCTCCATTCCCTCTCCATTCCAGGGGAAGGATACTGCAAAATCCCCATTCCCTCACCACTCCAGGGGGGAAGTATACTGCAAAATCTCCATTCCCTCTCCATTCCAGGGGAAGGATACTGCAAAATCCCCATTTCCATCCCACTCTTGGGGGAAGGATATTGCAAAATCCCCATTCCCACCCCACTCCGGGGCCAGCCGGAGGTGGTATTTGCCGATTCTCCAAACTGCTCAAAATTTCCCCTACCGGTTCTCCAGAACCTGTCAGAACCTGCTGGATTTCACCCCTGCAAATGCCCAGTAAATCAGCTAGAATGCAGAATAGTAGAATTGGAAGGGACCTTGGAGGTCTTCTAGTCCAACCTCCTGCTCAAACAGGAGACCCTACACCATTTCAGATAAATGGCTGCCCAGTCTCTTCTTAAAAGCCTCAAATGATGGAGCATCCACAACTTCTGGATGCAAGCCGCTCCATTGATTGATTGTTCTTAGTTTTCCTTGTGGCAAAGACTAAAATTGCTTCTAAATTGGAAGTAGAGATATTGGTTACAAAAAAAATTAATGGATACCGGACAGAAATGCTATTTGTTTGCTAAAATATGACCGAGGAAGAAAGAGAAAAAATATATACTTAATTAGAATCCCTTTGTTTAGGAATAGAAAGAATGTTTTTCTCTTAACTTAACTCTTTTTCCTTGATACTTGCCGCAGATGCAAGAGATGAGTTCATTACAACGCTAACAGAATTGCTATTTGAACTACACGTCGCAGCTACACCTGATAAACTTAACAAGGTGGGGAATGCTGATTATTGGATCTTTGAAGATATTCCTTATTCGATAGCTCAGGGCAATGATGATCCTTGACAGCGCATTATTTTTTTTAAAAAAAAAACAAGAAATGGGGCAAGAGCAGGCAGCATCGATATCATTACTATTTTGGTAAATTAGCAACTCTGAACACATTGAAGAAGGAGACAGAGAAGGAGAGAAATTGGTGAATGTGTTTGTAAATAGTTCAGAGTTGGAAAGTTTCATTTGGCACGGACCTATTCACAGAGCAGTTCTTCACCATGTTGTCAGATGCCAATTCTGATGTGCCGAAAGTCCATGGAATAATTTGGTCTATAATCTGCAATATAAAATCTGAAATGTTATGCTCCAAATTATGCAGAGCCAAAGGAGTGATGAAAACTGGCAAGGTTAGGGATGGAAATATATGAAGAAGAAGTCCATTAGGAATTCTGCAATTGCAATGGTATAATGGCTTGGAAACACAGTGACTTGGTTGGTTGGTTGATTGTTGGTTGGGTTGTTGAATGATTGATTGGTTGGGTAGTTGGGTTGGTGATTGGGTCTTTGGGTGGTTGGCTGTGTGTTGGGGGGTTGGGTTGTTGGATGGTTGTGTGTTTGGGTTGTTGGTTGGGTGATTGGGTTGTTGGTTGGGTTGTTGAATGATTGGGTGGTTGGGTTGGTGGTTGGGTCTTTGGGTGGTTAGTTGTGTGTTGGGGGTTGGGTTGTTGGATGGTTGTGTGTTTGGGTTGTTGGTTGGGTGATTGAGTTGTTGGTTGGGTTGTTGAAAGATTGGGTGGTTGGATAGTTGGGTTGTTGGTTGGGTGGTTGGATAGTTGGGTTGGTGGTTGAGTCTTTGGGTGGTTGGTTGTGTGTTGGGGGTTGGGTTGTTGGATGGTTGTGTGTTTGGGTTGTTGGTTGGGTGTTTGGCTAGTTAGGTGTTTGGGTGTTTGGGTTATTGGTTGGGTGGTTAGGTGATTGGGTGGTTGGATTGTTGGTTGGGTGTTGGGTGATGGGGCGGTTGGGTAATTGGGAGGTTGGGTGATTGAATGGTTGAACCAATGAACCAATGAATCAATTAATGTAGGCACCCATCTCACATGTGACTCTGGAGTATTTTCTGCTAGGAAACGAAGAGCTTATGTTGGAATCCAGATGTGCCATTCTGAAGCAGTGCATTTCCACACTACAATAATAACTCTCTGCCACTTTTGCTGATGATTATGTTGCAGGCCAGAAAGAAGGCTTATGTTGCCTTAGAAGCGGCGAGTCTCCCCACATCTGGAGACCTGGAAGAGAACCCACCAGACCAAACTAAAGAAGCAGATGAGGAAATTGTAGAAATGCAAGTAACTGAAGAAAAATCTCAGCTGGGAGAACCTGAAAAGACAGAAACAAAAAGAACCAAAACTGTAGAGGTAAGTGATGACCAGGTCTTTCTTTGACGACTGTCAATCAAGGATGGTGCAGGGATTCCTGCACTGTGCAGGCCACTGGACTTGAAGAACTCTTAGGTCATTTCCAAGTCTATGATTCTGTGATTTTGTTTTTGCCTGCTAATAAGAGGCAGGGACAGAAGTAGAAGACACCTTAGAGCAGAGGTGTCCATCCTTGGTGGCTTGAACACTTGTGGACTTCAACTCCCAGAATTCCCCAGCCAGCCATGCAAATTTATCTCTCATCCTCCATGTTGGCTGAGGAGTTCTGGGAGTTGAAGTCCACAGCTCTTAAAATTGCCAAGGTTGGACACCTCTGATTTACACAGGCCTTAGAGAATCTCAGGACTGTGGTAAAGAAGGAGAAGGAGGACATGAAAGACAGGCTATATCAGGTTATGGCAGGACCAAGGTTTTCCATTGACGATCTTCTTTGCTTTCCAAACTCTGAAATTATTTCACAGCCCCCGCCCCCCGCCCCAAATAGCTTTTATTTGTTTTCCACTGGAAATAATAAGGAACTCACTCATTTCCCGCATGCCATCACTCTGCTAAACAACTAATTCCCACAACACTGTCAAACTATTTACTAAGATTGTATTACTATTATTCTTCTCATCCTTCCTACTACCTATTTCCTTTCCTACTTATGACTATAACTCTGTTGCTTGTACCTTTACGGTTTATATTGTTTATTAGTTCCTAGTATGATTTATGTTGATTGCTTATTTAGTATCCCATGACTATCACTAACGGTTGTATCTTATGATTCTTGATGAATGTATTTATGATGACTATGATCATGATTTATCACTTATATCTTTGATGTACACTGAGAGCTTATGAACGGAAATTCCTTGTGTGTCCAATCACACTTGGCCAGTAAAGAATTCTATTCTATTCTATTCTATTCTATTCTATTCTATTCTATTCTATTCTAGTCTAGTCTAGTCTAGTCTAGTCTAGTCTAGTCCTAGACTAGACTAGACTAGACTAGACTAGACTAGACTAGACTAGACTAGTTTAGGCTAGGCTAGGCTAGGCTAGGCTACGCTACTTTACTCTACTCTATTCTATTCTGACGGCAAAATTTCAGGAATTGCAAAAAAGAAAGAAAGAAAGAAAGAGAAAGGAGGGAAAGAAGGAAGGAAGGAAGAGAAAGAAAGAAGGAAAGAAAGGAAGGAAGAAGAAAGGAAGGAAGAAAAGGCAGGCAGGCAGACAAGAAAGAAAGAAAGATAGGAAGGAAAGAAGGAAGGAAGGAAGGAAAGAAAGGGAAGGAAGAGAAGGAAGGAAGGAAAGAAAGAAAGAAATCAAAATATCCACCTTCATGACTTTGGAAGAGGGTGTTGAAAAATCAAGATGGCGTCCACGACCATAGAATCAAAGTGTGCTCCCTTTTTTAAACAAGCATCACAATTTAAAGTTTACTGCCTTGTAATATGTTCAGCATCTATGCTAATCAGTACGATTTCCTTCTTTCAAGGAACTTTACATGTTGTCCATTGAAAGCCTGGCTGAAGTAACCGCCCGTTGCATTGAACAACTCCATAAATTAGCAGAATTAATTCTGCACGGACAAGAAGTTGAAAAGTCAGCCTTGGAACAAGCTCGAGGTCTAACAAAGTGAATATGTTTTCCATTTGCTGTTCTTTCTGCATAAGGATTACTGCTCATTCCTTCCTTCATTCATGCACCCATTCATTCATTCGTCATAATAGTTTCATTTTTGGGGGGGGAGATTGCGTTGTCACATGGTCACACAGGTTGTGCTGGGTGGGGAGGCTTTATAATATCTGTGTTGCACCAAGGAATCTCTACAGATGTCACTGCATCTGTGACATTACAGGTAATTCTGGTTTAGCAACAGTCTTGTTCAGTGACCGTCTGTTGGCAGTCACGACAGTGATGTAAAGCAATTTTGCAACCAATCCTCACACCTTCAACACACCTTTGCAGGTCTGTTAAAGAAAGCTAAAGTAAGATCATGAGCGCAGTCACCGTTTCATTTAGCGACCGCTTTACTGAAGGACCAAGTTGCTGGTCTCAACTGCAGTTGCTAAATGAGGACTACTTGTAGATGGAATCTACCGACTTTCCATTTAAAAAAAAAAATCCTAATTTTAAGAATGGTTAAAATTGTGTAAAGTAAGCAAGATTTCTGTGTTCACCCATCACCTCTTTAAATGATGTTTTAACTTAATGTTTGCAATGTTTGAAAATTATTCACTTTATTTAGATTATCCTGGGGGGCAATAGCAATGAATCAAAAGGCAAAGTTGCGTTCCACTGGGGGGGAAAATGCTGTTGTGTATGATATGTATCATATGCTGACCCATCAAAGTGGAATATTTATGTAAATTTATGTAAATATGTTATTTTCATGAGCAAATATGACAGTACAGCATCACAGGGGCAATCCAATTTTTGCACCACTGCAAAAAAAAAAACAAGCGAATGGTCAGATGAGGAGACCTGAACTCATTTAGAGCCTCACACTACAATGAATAAGGACATACATTCAATTTTGCAGCTACTAAGATTGTTGGACGAGCAGGCACAAAAACAGCCAGGGAAATAATTGAAGCCTGGAAAACGGGCCCTTTTGTCAGTCAACAGGAGTGCTGATTTGTCACTAGCTTATCAAGTACTTAGGAGGGGAGGGCTTGGCAGCACAAGGAAACAACAGCTGACAACTTCGTAGCCAGCCATCAACACACCCCAATCAATATCTAAAAAGCCACATACAATAGGCACCATATAAATACCACACGGAACAGCACACGCTCTGCTAGAGAGAAATTCCCGGAGGATTAATTTCCAGCACGAGTCCGAAAACTCGGAAGGCTAAACCTCTGGTCCCAGGGACTGACCCAGATTGGATACTCATAGCCTTTGTCTAAATTACTAATAATGAATTGGTAATGATCTAGAATTGTAGTTTGGCCTGAAATATTCAAGAATATGCTGATTAGGACGGACAAACACTCTTATTCCCATTATGTTTTCAACAGTTTAACCAACACGATGTGTAACGAAGTGTCATCCCTCTCAAAACAATTCTCCGATGTTTTGACTTTGGTTGCGGTAAGTTATTACACAATTTCATTTATTTATTACTTCCTGTGTTATTCTTTAACTAAGTGAGAGAAGGAGCGAGCAAGCGGTATTAAATGGTATCTCTAATCCGCATCCAATGCACATAATATATTTCTCACAGAACCACAAGCAAAAAAAAACAAAAACGATCATATATTCTTAATCATATATAGCAGTGATGGCTAACCTTTTTTGGACTGAGTGCCCAAAGCACGCAGATGTGTGTGCCCGAACCCCCAAAATGCAATGCGTGCATGATCTCTACGCATGCACCCCACCCCCACACATGCGCCCCACCAGGGGTGGGTTCTACTTACATTTATTTATTTATTTATTTATTTATTTATTTATTTATTTATTTATTTATTTTTCGTATTTCTATGCCGCCCACTCTCCGAGGACTCTGGGCGGCTTACACCAAAGACAGTATACTAAATAGCATATTGCCCCCAACAATCTGGGTCCTCATTTTACCCACCTTGGAAGGATGGAAGGCTGAGTCAACCTTGAGCCGGTGAGATTTGATCCGCTGATCTGCTGAACTAGCAGTCAGCTGAAATAGCTGCAGTACTGCACTCTAACCACTGCGCCACCTCAGCTCCCGGCTTTACTACCGGTTCGCAACGGTTTGCTTCTGGGCATACGCAGATTGTCCATGATGATGTCTGGTGGGTGGGCGGAGCCTCCTGTTGCTTTTACTACCGGTTCACAAGAACCGGACCGAACCGGGAACAACTCACCACTGCGCCCCACCCCACGTACGCCCCTGCACACACACACCGCCCATGTGCGCATGTCCCATAGACGTGCTCCCGTGCATGTGCAGCAGAGACCCGAAGACCAGCTGGCTGGTGGAAGGCGCGCGCGCATGTGCGGTGAAGCTGAACTGGGGCGACGGCTCGTGTGCCATCAGAGAGGGTGCTGCGTGCCACCTCTGGCACGCGTGCCATAGATTCGCCATCACGGATATATAGTATAGCTTTTAAGTGATACGTTTTTCTTCATTCTATTCATGAAAAGTGCCAATAATTGCCAAGTTTTATAGCCAACAGCTTTATTTCATACTCATATTCAGTGGTGGGTTGCTCCCAGTTTGCACAGGTTCGCAAGAACCGGTAGTAAAAATTTGTAGTAGTTCTGAGAACCGGTAATAACATTGGCTGGCCACGCCCCCAAACTGGTCCCCGGCCCAGTCGCCACTTGCTTACCCCGCCTTCCTCATCAGAGGCTTTTTTTTTTTTTTTTACTTTTAAAAAACATTTTTTCTACAATCTCTTTGGCCGAAAAAATGCTTTTAAAAGTAAAAAAAAAGCCTCTGATGATCCCGCAGCTCAGCTGGGATCGTCAGAGGCTTTTCAAAGCATTTTTTCTACAACCTCTTCAGCCGAAGAGGTGGTTAAAAAAAAATGCTTTGAAAAGCCTCTGATGATCCCAGTTGACTTGCCTGATCGGCAGAGGCTTTTCAAAGCACTTTTTTCTGCAACCTCTTAAGGTTGTGGAAAAAATGCTTTTAAAAGTAAAAATAAAAAACTTGGCCACGCCCACCCAGTCACATTTACCCCCCCAAGCCACGCCCACAAAATAAGCCACGTCCACAGAACCGGTAGTAAAAAAATTTAGAACCCACCCCTGCTCATATTCCTTCATAATAGTTGCCGCAGAACTCCGAAAAATAGATTCTTGCCTTTATAATCCGTGAGAGTGCAATGCAGGAGATTTAAGAGAATATAGCAATAAGCACTTAGACTTATATACCGCTTCACAGTGCTCCACATCCCTCTCTAAGCGGTTTACAGAGTCAGCCTCTTGCTGATAACAATCTGGCTCCTCAGATTTTGAAATAAAAGCAATTAAAAAGGATCACAGAAGTTCAACTCAAAATCAAGCATTGCAACGCAGGTAGTCTTCAACTTACGACCACAACTGAGCCCAGAATTCATGTTGCTAAGCAAGACATTTTTTAAAAACAAATTTTCACCAATTTTACGACTTTTCTACCCACGGTTGTTAAGGGAATCGCTGCAATTGTTAAAATAGTAATCTGGTTGTTAAGCGAATCTGAATTCCCCTTTGACTTTGCTTTTGTCAGAAGGTCGCAAAAGCGGATCACCTGACCCCAGGACACTGCAACCGTCATAAGTATCAGTCAGTTGTAAAGCACGCGAATGTAAATCAGGTGACCGAGGGTGAAAAATGGTCATAAATCCCTTGTTTCAAACCAGTAGTGGGATTCAAATAATTTAACAACCGGTTCTCTGCCCTAATGACCAGCTGGGTAGGCGTGGCTCGGTGGTCGTGTCCATGTGGGAGTGGCCAACTCAACATCATACATGTCGATGGGCGTTTCGCCTTAGCTGTTACAATGTAACAAGGGTTAACCAGAGAGGCAGTTTCTGTAAGCAGGGCGATAAAGATTAGGCTAGAAACACCACCAGAATGTTTCCTTCCTGCCTTCCTTACAGGATTAGCCCTGTAAAGTGGGAAAAAACAAAATAAGATTTCTTCCAACAACCGGTTCACCGAACTGCTTAGAAAGTTAACAACCGGTTCTCCCGAATAGGTGCGAACTGGCTGAATCCCACCACTGTTTCAAACTGTTGTAACTTTGAAGGGTTGCTAAATGAACTGCTGTAAGTCGAGGACTAGCAGTATAGTCGATTCATGCGTGATAACCAAATTTCCATGAGAGTAAGTCAATATTTTCCCTTTATTGGAATTTCATTTGGTGACATTTTCTCAGGGCTGCAAGACAGCGGTGGGTTTCAAATTTTTTTACTACAGTTCTGTGGGCGTGGCTTGGTGGGCGTGGCAGGGGAAGGATACTGTAAAATCTCCCAATCCAGGGGAAGGATACTGCAAAATCCCCATTTCCTCCCAATCAGCTGGGATTCAGGAGGCAGAGAATAGATGGGGGCGGGGCCAGTCAGAGGTGGTACTTACCAGTTCTCTGAACTACTCAAAATTTCTGCTACCGGTTCTCCAGAACTGATCAGAACCTGCTGAAATCCACCTCTGCTGCAAGAGCATTCTGATTTTCTCCGTGTTTTCTTTTAAACAGAGTGACAAAAAAGCTGAAGTTCTTAATCCAATGGTCAATAGCGTACTATCCGAGGTAAGTACTTCCTATGTCTACTTTACATAAGGAGCCAACTGGTTGTCATTTTCCTCATCTGCATTGATACCCTGTGAAAAAAAATCAGAAAATATAGTAGAACCAGAAGGCTGGACAAGAAACAATAGATGGAGACTAATGAAGGACAGAAGCAACCTGGAATTAAGGAGAAACCTCCTTAATTAACCAGTGGAACAAATTGCTTTTGGAAGTTGTAGATGCTCCACAGTGGTGAAATGTAAAATTTCACCACTGAGCATTTTCACCCTCCCCAGGCTCCGGAGGCCTTCCTTGAGCCTCCGGGAGGGCAAAAACGGCCTCCCCCTGGCTCCGGAGGCCCTCCAGAGGCCGGAAACGGGTCTGTTTCCGGACTTCCAGAACTTCCAGGAGGCCCATTTTATGCCCTTCCAGAGCTTCCGTACAGGCCCGGCACTTACCTGGCATCCAAAACGGGCCACGTGAAGACTCCTGCAAGGGGTGGGACAGGGTGGTCGGGGGCCAGCCAGTCCTTGCAACTACCAGTTCGGCGAACCAGATGTAAAATTAGCATCCGATTCGCCTGAACCGGTCTGAACCACCCCAGTCCCAAAGGTGGATTTTCAAGAGGCCACTGGACTTTCTGGTTTTTCTTTGAAGACGTTTTGCTTCTCATCTAAGAAGCTTCTTCAGCTCTTATATTTGCTAATATTTCATTATTATGCTAATAATAATCTTTTCTTTTCTCATTAGGGCTGTAACAGCACCGCGTATATTCAAGACGCTTTCCAGTTGTTGCTTCCGGTTCTTCAGATCTCACATATCCAAATCCATGGTTTGAAAACGCAACCGGGATTTCCTCTAAACTAGCCATCAATTTAATTTCTGATGGGTACAGTTAATTAATATCCAAATGCCATATAAACCATTCTGGAGTCTTTAGAAGGACACTAAAATGCAGGATTTGCACGGAAAGTATCAAACAAACATTTTTCGATCCGAACGAACTATTTTAAGCGTGTTCAAATCAGCGAATGGGGAAAGCAACCTCATGTTTCTTGTAGTAATTGAAGGCGTATTCTGGTTTTATGGGTGCACATTCACCTTGGATATATTCAGTGGTGAAATGTAAAATTGGTTACTACTGTTTCTGTGGGCGTGGCTTGTTGGGGGGGGCGTGGCTTGATGGGGGGAGTAAGGTGACTGGGTGGGTGTGGCCAACTTTTTTTTTTTTACTTTTAAAAGCATTTTTTCTACAACCTCTTCGGCTGAAAAGGTTGTAGAAAAAAATGCTTTTAAAAGCCTCTGACGATCAGGCAACTCAGCTGGGATCATCAGAGGCTTTTAAAAAAACAGTCTCTGATGATCGCATGGCTCAGCTGAGCATGGGGGGGGGCAGGAATTTTTGCTACTGGTTCTCTGAACCACTCGCCACCATCGCTACTGGATCTGGTCCGAACCGGGAGCATTTCACCCCTGGATATATTACTAAATATTTTAGATTTTGTTTTCCAAGAAAAAAGTTGTCTCCCCCACCTCCCCACCCCACTTTTGCCAGGAGTGGACTTCAAAAATTTTAGCAAGAGGTTCTCTGCCTGGTTGCTGGATGGGCGTGGCCATGGTGGGCGTGGCCTAGTCAGCCTCCTGTACCACGGCGGGGAGGCGTTTTTGCCCTCCCCGGGCTCCGGAGGCTTTCCTTGAGCCTCCGAGAGGGAGAAAATGGCCTCCCCAGGCTCTGGAGGCTGGAAATGGGCTCGTTTCCAGCCTTCCCAAAATTCCGGTAGGCCCGTTTTTCACCCTTCCCGAGCCTCCTCGCTGCACTTACCTGCATCCAAAATGGGCCGTGTGGGGACTCCTGGAGGGGCGGGGTTGGGTGGGCAGGGCCAACCAGGAATGGGATTTGGGGGTTCTCCGAACTCCACAGAATCTTAGCTAGAGGTTCTCCCGAACCCCTATGGACCCCCAGCAGCCCACTCTGGCCTTTTGCTTAAAGGTTTTATCGAGTAAATTAAGACAGCCAGAAGGACAGATTTGCTGATTTTGCTGTGATCCTAATATTAAATGTAAACATTCAGGAAAGAGAACCAAAGATATAATAGGAGAATGGACCTTATTTCTAATGCTGCTTTTAACGTTAGACCTTACTTTTGACCCTACGTCCATGTTTCCATTTATGGGCCTTCACTCCTCCCACTAGCAGAAATGTTTACTTGCCTTTGCAATATTATTAATGATTGCAAGCCAGTTTTTTTTTTTTGTAGTCTTATGCACAAAAAGCAGTAAATTATTTAAACAAATGATGACTTCTTTGCTCCTTGCCAATCAATTACATCATCTGTTTTTGCTCATGTTGGTTCCTTATACTGAAGGGGATCCATATTTGGGTTCAAGAAGTGTGCCTCGGTGCTCCCTGAGATGCATTTTTGCAGGTGTTTCATTACCCAAAGTAGGTGACATCATCTGTGCTAAAAAACCCACTCCTTCCAGCACTGATGATGTTCCCTAGTTGGGTCATGAAAGGTCTGCAAGAACATCACCAAGCTTGGAGAGTAATAAGGACCCCCAGTTATCCTCCTCCTCCTCCTCCTCTTCCTCTTCCTCCTCTTCCTCCTCCTTTACACTCCCTTCTAACACTGATGATGTTCCCTAGTTGGGTCACGAAAGGTCTGCAAGAAAATCACCAAGCTTGGAGAGCAATAAGGACCCCCAGTTATCCTCCTCCTCCTCCTCCTCTTCCTCTTCCTCCTTCTCTCCTCCTCCTCTCCACTCCCTTTTAACACTGATGATGTTATCTAGTTGGGTCATGGAAGGCCTGCAAGAAAACCACCAAGCTCAGAGAGCACCTCATTTCAACTTTGAGCTACAAATAATCTGGTTTATCGATGTAATTGGGTTTGCATTTCTCGGTCCACTCCATATTCCACTACTGTTGCTCTGTAAGGGAATTTCTATGGTTTTATATTTATCTTCATGCAAATCTCACAAATTGAGAACATTTGTCTGGAACATCGGATCAAGGACACCACAATCTGCTCCCAGTTCAATGAATTACCGTAACTTCTAGGTATTGCTGAACTACATCTCAGAACACCAGAACATGGCTGCCGCGGAACAGAATGTTCTAGTATTTTCCAGCGTGTTCCATTTCCAAGTTTTGCATCTCTCTGTCTCTTTTAAGCTTACATGTAGGGATTCTGTAGCAAGTACTGTGACTTTCATTAATTTAACATACGGGTGTCCAACCTTGGCAACTTTAAGCCCTTTGGACTTCAACTCACTGCCCTGAGTCCTTCAGGAGTAGGGCGGTATATAAATCTGATAAAATAAACAAACAAATAAAACAAACTCCCAGAATTCCCCAACTAGCCTGTTGAAATCTTAAAGTTGCCCAGGTTGGACACCCCTGATCTAACAGAATATTGAGTTGCAGTTTCTTAAAATATGTTGCATCAAAGCAGGAATGAAATCCTACCGGTTCGGACCGGTTCGGGCGAACCGCTAGGGATTATAGGCATCAGTTCGCCGAACCGGTAGTAATTACCCCTCCTTGGCCCCACCGATGCCTGGCTGGTCACCACTCACTTATTATTATTTATTATTTATTTATTATTTAAATTTCTATACCGCCCTTCTCCTTTCGGACTCAGGGCGGTGAACAGCCAAAAATAAAACATTTGTACACAAAAGTTAAAATAGTTTTAAAATAATTAAATAAAGTTTGGCCCATAATTTAAAACATTCCAATTAAAATCAGTATCAATTTTAAAAACCAATATAAAATCAGGCCAGCCTGGCTAACTGAGAGAAATAGGTTTTAAGGGCCCGATGAAAAGTCCGGAGGTCTGGGATCACTCGTATCTCTGGGGGTAGATTGTTCCAGAGGGTAGGCGCCATCGCAGAGAAGGCTCTCCCCCTGGGGGTCGCCAGCCGACATTGTCTGGCTGACGGCACCCTGAGGAGGCCCTCTCTGTGGGAGCGGACTGGCCGGTGGGAGGCAATTGGTGGCAGAAGGCGGTCCCGTAAGTACCCCGGCCCTAAGCCATGGAGCGCTTTAACTTCTTCCAGCTGCTCGATATTCCACAGAATTCAATGTTAAATGCAGCAGAGAGAATGCTAACTTTTCTCCCTCCATTCAGAACGGAGCTGCTGCAGGCCGTCCCTTTAAGGTAGTCCCCAGGAGGGAGGGGGACAGGGGGGAGCAGCTGGAATGGAGCCATTTTTGTGAAAGGCGGGAAAATGGGGAAGGGGATTTTCCTGCCTGTTGTCCATTCTTCAATCTCAGCACAGACTGAGGGAAGGATGGTAGGCAGGAATATTCCCCTCCCCATTTTCCTGCCATTCGCGACAAGGAGTAGCTGGGAGGGGAGGGGCTGGTGAGGAGCCCCTCAATGTGAGTGTTGTCGAGTTGGCCACGCCCACCCAGTCACATGAGCTCCCCCCAACAAGCCACGCCCACAGAACCAGTAGGGGAAATTTTTTAATTTCACCCCTGCATCAAAGTTTAAGTTTAAGTTTAAGTTTATTTAGATTTATATACCGCCCCACTCCCGAAGGACTCAGGGTGGTGAACAGCCAGAGATAAAACACATACAGTATAAAATTTAAAAAAAAAACAATTTAAAACATATTAAATAAATTTGGCCCATACTAATTAAAACACTCTTCTTTTTTAAAATAAATTAACTTTAAGTTTATTTAGATTTATATACCGCCCTACTCCCGAAGGACTCAGGGCGGTGAACAGCCAGAGATAAAACACATACAGTATAAAATTTAAAAAAAAAAATTTTTTTTAAACATATTAAATAAATTTGGCCCATACTAATTAAAACACTTCTTTTTTAAAAATAAATTAAGTTTAAGTTTATTTAGATTTATATACCGCCCTACTCCCGAAGGACTGACGGTGAACAGCCAGAGATAAAAACACATACAGTATAAAATTAAAAAAAAAAACAATTTAAAACATATTAAATAAATTTGGCCCATACTAATTAAAACATCCTTCTTTTTTTAAAAATAAATTAAAATTAAACAATTAAAAGGAGTTAGGCCAGCCCAGCCTGTTGAAATAAAAAGGTCTTGAGGGCACAGCAGAAAGTGCGTAAATCCGGGATCCTCCGTATCTCCGGGGGGAGCTCGTTCCAAAGGGCAGGTGCCCCCACAGAGAAGGCTCTCCCCCTGGGGGCCGCCAGTCGACATTGTTTGCCGATGGCACCCTGAGGAGCCCCTCTTTATGGGAGTGTACTGGTCGGTGAGAGGCTACCGGTGGCAGAAGGCGGTCTCGTAGGTACCCAGGTCCTAAGCCATGGAGCGCTCTAAAGGTGGTAACCAAAACCTTGAAGCGCACCCGGAAGACCACCGGGAGCCAGTGCAGCTCGCGCAGGAGAGGTGTTACATGGGAACGCCACGTCGCTCCCATAACCACCTGTGCGGCCGCACTCTGCGCCAGTTGGAGCCTCCGGGTGCTCCTCAAGGGGAGCCCCATGTAGAAAGCGTTACAGTAGTCCATGCGGGCTGGACTAAAAGTATTGCAAGTGAATCATTTGTCACAATATGCATGTGCCTTTTTGGTTTTCTTAAGATTTTACCTTGCAGAATATAATAGCTGCTCCTGCAGAGAAGAGAAGATTTGTGGAAATAGATAATTGTCATAATTAAGGTGATCTTTTAACTAAACGTTGCTTAGGAATATGTTGCGTGCCTTAGAGAAATATTTTAAAAGAATCATTTATAACAGGAGATGGTTTAATTTGGAGCAGCCTTTCTGCAGGTTTTGCTGGAAAGCGTTCAATGCACGGAGCAGATTTTGTCACGACGGAGGGAAAAAAAATTAAGGAAGAAGCTACTAAATGAGACAAGGAACAGAATATCCCATGGGAGATTTATCCTTTACGATCAATACACTTGGCAGTTTAAGAATTAAAACCAACTGGCTCATTTAAAGGAACCAAATCAGCTCAGGGTTGCGTGGAAAAAAACAACAT